GACTCGATCCCAGGACCCCGGGATCATGACCTGAGCCGAAGGCAGACGCTTACCCAACTGAGGTGCCCAGGCGCCCCAGTGTCCGACTCTTGATCTCAGGTCTTGATTTCAGGGTTGTGAGTTCAAGCCCCGCATTGAGCTCCACACTGGGCATGGAGCCTACTTAAAAAAAACAAAAAAGGTAAGAAGAAACAAAGGAGGTAGCACTCTCTGTTGCTTATAAATATAATTTATTACCTGTTTAAAAATTCTTTCTTACATTTTGTACATGTTGGCTGACAGAAGAAATGCAGGCAATTTACAAACCGAGGGACTGCAGGAAAAAGTGGGGAGAGGCAGCAGGGAGAGAGAAGAGCCACACCCAGAGCGGGCATCCCTCACCTCCACCACACAGCGGCATAGCGGATGGGATGCCCAGAGAGCACTCCTCCACCGGGGATTTTCTAGAAAAGGAATTGCATAGAAGATACAGCAAGAGGGAACTCCACAACAACAAAAAAAGTGTTCTGTATCTAAAAAGCCAAAGTTGTGTTGTCGTGTTTCCAAAAGAAAAATGACAAAGCACAAAATCTCAATCTGACATTTCTGCAGTTGAACTTGTTCCAAAGGAACAGCAGGTGGATGACACAGGCTCTTCACCACAGACTGCCGGGGGTTTTTCTCTGACAAACACTGCTTGTCTTCTTTAGAAAGAGCAAAGAGGAGGGTCACCAACTTGCTATAGCTCAACATTCAACTCAATGAACACATCCAACACTGACCTCCAACACACACACAGTGATGACACTCCCTGCAATTGGGCTAAATGCATTCTGTCTGAAGGGCGAGGGCTTCACTACCAATAGCAGGTCTAGGGAAGAGTGAAGAGGAGAACGCAAATCACTCACTCAACTTGTTCTGATTGCTGTCCTCTTTATTCCCCAAGGCCAGGAGGGGTATGCACTTGAACTCCCACCCCTACGATTACAGGCGTCACATGAGACCTTAAGAATATAGAAAGGCAAAGAAAGGCATTTTCCACTGGCTGTCGACTTCTCGCTCTTCCAAGCTGTTCTAAGACAGGTTTGTTTTAACGTGTAGAAGACAGCTTAGGTTGTGATTCCTGGATGTTGCCTCACCATAGTGCCAAGGTTCAGAGGTCAAGGGCTCATCTACTCCTAGGCTACCGCTCAGCAACACCTGCCTACAATTCACATTCTGAACTCCAAAAGTGAGGGTTATTCCCCCCTGGGTCAGTGCCATCAGGTTCAACAGCAGCTCTGATGGTGCCAATTCCAACAGATCTTTGGAATTGAAGGATGACACATAGAACTTGAGAATATTTATAAGGGACACTGAAGTCTGATGGCCTTCAGCAATTTACCATTTTGCTGAGGCACAAATCTGAAATGGCAAGTGAAGAGGCTGGTAGGCAGCAAACACTTTGGCTGGTGGGCAAGCTGCCTGTATCTTGGGGCAGCTTCCTTGTTTTTTTCTCAACAATGGGTGGGCCCTAACTCTTGTGATGTTCTGCAGAGATTCCCAACTTGGGATTCCAGAAGAGCTCTTCAATACCAAGAGTCTTAAGTATATAGCCAGCTGGGAAGCGGCATCTTAGAGTTGTGTGGTTTTGTGTACAAGTATGTGTGTAGAGTTCCTGTTGGTTTGTCCTGGTGATGCCTCCCTCAACCTTCCTAAGATAGGTCTAGGGGCATATATTACATTTGGTTGAGTTGAGACCATTACTATCCCACCACAAATCAATACAGAGAGGGGACAAGCCTACCGGAAAAGCTGGGAGCCATGAACTCTTTTGAAGACCGTTTTTTTTTTGTTGTTGTTGTTGTTTTAAAGTAGGATTCCTGACAGTGGGGGCAACCCCAGGGCCAATAAGTCTGACGGATCAGGGAGTATATTGTCAGACCTAGTTTGTAGGGAAAACCTACCCAGTGACCTACAATGCCATCTCCCTGCTTTTCAAAAATAGCAGGTTTCAGGCATGAATTTTGGAAACTTAGGACTCCATTTGGCTAACTTGACCTGTATGGACACAGCTTTAAATTAACATTGGTTGCAATGTATTTATTCCCCTTATGCCTTATTCCATTAAAAAAAAAATCATTACGGATACAAGGGAAATCTCTCAAAGTGATTATTACAGCCAGAGATTATACAAATAGATTTCTTAACGTAGAGAAACAGCACTTCATTGCACAGAGACGAAGTTCTAAGGACTTTAGTCAACATTAGCTCGGTAAGGTTAAAAAAAACCCCACAAAAACAAAAAAACCCAAAGTGTAATAGTTGGTCCTATGAGGCACTCGGAAGGTAAAAAAAAATGTTTTATTACCTTGAGATAATCAATAATAAAAATATTTTTCCTTATCGGATCTATAAAATCTAATGCTCATTGACCACTATCATCTTTACAAATAATTGGCTTTAAGCAACAACATTCTGATTCACAAAAGCTCCTCTATTCTCAAAGAAGATGGATAAAACCCAGTTTCATTTCAGCTGTTTCCATGGTCATCTTTCCCTCATTGGCCTTGGATTGGTACTGAGGTCTCCATGTGAAACAGGTAACTTGTCCAGAACAACTGCTCAGCAAAAGCTAAAGCTCACATTCAACTTGAAGACTGAAAATTCAACATGTAAACTTCTTCTACTTTCTTTACACTCTTTTGCGGGTCTTCACATAGTTTTTATTTGCTTGGCCCCATGGGGGCAGACCTTATACTGGCAAAGGCTTGTGAATTCGGGGAAGTTAGTGATCACCTTCCGGGCCCCCTTCCTCACACGCTGACGACAGAAGCAGACCAAAGGCATAGCCACTGTGGTCCTGACAGTGATAGACATGGGGAGACATAAGATGAGAGCCTCATTTGCTCCTCTCCAGAAGCAGAAAGTCTTGATTCCACCGTCTGAATGCTTACTTTGAAGATACCTAACCTGTAGGAGAACTATCTTTTAAAAAAATTACAGAATGTCTAATTTCCAGAGTGTCCTAAACTCACACTCCATGACTTCTTCCTACAGAATGGCTCTACTGGTTGAGAGTTGAGAGAGTAAAATACCTAAAATAATTGTATGTATGAAAATGGAGAATGGTTTATCCAGTTTCATTTGCTACCTCACCCAAAATCTTGCCCTGCCTTCCTGGAAGAGCTTGTATTACTCATGTGAGGATGGGGATTTTTCCTTCTAGGGGACGTGAGTGTCCACGTTGGTGTCCACACAGTTTGTGAAAAGGCTGTTAGCTGTTACATGTCTGTCATCACCATGTGTCCAGTTACCAATTCTGAATCCAATTTCTATTCCTTCCAGATCACTCTAAGGAAAGCTGAGTGAATGTGGTGAGAAGAAGACAAAAATACGATGAAACCTCGGCCTTTAGACGGCCAAACTCAGAAGAAAGGAAGCTTATTTCTAGTCCTGCATTAGTAATCACAATTGTTGCTTCCCTAGACACAGTTCTCTCATTTGCATATATAAAACATTTTGAAGTGGATGCTTCTTACATTTCCAAAAATAAATATTAGAGAACTAAAAGTAAGGAGATTTAAAACATAAAAGGCCCAATCAAAAATGTCAATGTCCAAAATGACAACTCTTCAGAAACCGTTTTATACAGATATTTATGTATTTCTATCATTTCTATTACCAAAAACCAACTTGAGACCTATTGTGGGAGAAGGAGTTGATGACATACTAGCCTCGATGTAATTTTGGTATGGGTAATTTAAGTAAAAGAGTGTTACAATAAGAAAACTATATATTTGAAGTGAAAATTTACCCACAGCTATCTGTCGTAAAGGTCCTGTTGACTTTAGCTCTTAATTCCCTTTGCCAAACAACTTTTAGTGAATTTTTGTTAAACTCAGGGTAGATTGTGTTGTGCACCACTAGATGGCACCATGCACAAATGATAGGTGGGTTCCCCGCCCCCCACCCCCCCCATCCAAAGGAAGTAAGCGCGTCCTTCCCCATAAGCTATGTAGAAGCCCTAGGAATCAAAGGCGGAACATGTCACATAGAATGATGAAGTGGCTCTCTATGAAATGAGCTGTTGAGTCTGGACCTTCTAAGTTTGAGAGCAATCTAACAGCTATTATTTTACTCCAAAGGAGAAGGAAATCAGAATTCGTAGTGAAAATTATTTGACATAAGTGGTGTGTTGTACGTAAGGGAGTTGCCATTCACTCGATGGGGAACATAACAGGTTCTATGACAGATGAGTACCTCACTTAGATGGAATCAACCACTCTTCCCTTTTCACGAGGCATGGAAGTTCCTTTGAGCATCCTTCAGATGTCTAATTCTTGATTTCCATAGATGACAGCTCCCAAACCAGGAAGGACGAGAAATCTTGAGAAGTTATTTCAAATGGAAGTAATGGACAATAGCTCTCTTTCCTCCTCTTCCTTTTAAAAAAATATCTATTTAAAAATCTTTTTATGTAGAATACAGTGTTACTATCTTTTGGTCAAATATGCATTGGTACAAACCTTATCCACTGAACTTGTTTATTACTACAAACTCTTCCTTTCACATTAGCATAACATAGATTTATGTATGGTGCAGGGGGTGGCCTGAGAGAGACAGGTTCTAGAATATATGCCTAAAACAGAAGATAAACAAAAGGAGTGAAAGAGGCTCTATACCAGAGTATCAGTAGTTCCTCAATGAGGAGGATGGAGGAGTCTTGGGAATATCAAGAAGTCACCAAAATAGAAGAGGAACTACATGTGTAAAGAAGGAGGGAAATACATAGAATGATTTCTCATTCAACTCCAGTCAGCAACCCTTACACCTCCAGCGCAAAAGTCAACCACGGCCATGTTTCAAAGGCTCTGATTCATCCACGTGGGTGCTTGTTGTTCAGTCGTCGTTTGGCTACTGGCTGCTGACCTTTGACCTCCCACCTGCTCAATGAATTGAGTCCCTGGGTTAAAACAAAGAGCCTGTGACAGTTCTAAGGGAATACCATAGTCTACACAAAGTCGTCTTTGGACTACTTCTCAGTTAATTTTTTTTAATTTAAAAAAGTCTGAGTAAGACAATAATAGAACATAATTTGCAATCGGTCAGGAAGGCAAGTGGCCCCAAGAGAGAAAAGAAAATGATAATAAAGGGATGCTGTCTCTTGGCGAGCAGCCCAGAGACAAGGCTTGAAAGCGTGACAAATAGGCTACAGGTTAGAATCTTCCTCTTCCAAGCTGGAACTATTTGGAAGGCATACAGTAGCCTGGGCAAGAGACTAGCTGACTCTTTAAAGGATCCAGCTCAGAGTCCATGGTGGTCCTCGGACTGATGAAGGAGACTGGAGACATCATAGTAGGAGTCCAGCATTTTAGAACCTTGAGAAGACCTACTACTTCTACCCCTTCATTTGACATATGAGGGAACTGAGGTCCAGTGAGGTTAAATGACTCTCCCAGGGGAACACAGCTAGACAATGATACACCCAGAATGAGAACCGGGTTTCCAGTTGCCAGCTCAGAGGCTCTTCCTCCAGGCACACAGCCTCTCGAGTAGACAGAGTACCCGGGGTGAGGGGGGTGTCAGGGTTGCGGTCACAGAACCACAGTGTTCAGTGAACTTTAGTTGAGAACGCTTCTCACAACAAGACTTGGAGGAGAAAGACCTTGTCTGAGCCAGCTGAAAGAAGAGACTGACAAAGCCAGTAAGCATTGACTATGTTTCTGGGGTAGAAGGATGCAAGAAAGATAAAAGGTCAAGGAAGCAAAGCCTGTTTAATTAAACTGGTGACCACGCCCACCTAATCCCGTCAGAAGGTGAGGCAGGTCTAGTCAATACCTAAATACTAACAGTACTGCTAACAAAAACAGAAGTTAAAAGAAAAACCCTTTTACTAGAATACTTGTAAATATCATCAATAATAGTAATAGTGATAATAATGATACCTTTTTTTATAAAAAAAAAACCCAAAACACTTCAAACTGCATCTTACAAACACACACGTGGTGAAGAAACGCTTGTTTGTGTGGCTGAACATGAATCATGGTCTTCCCTGCAATGCTACAGCTTTATTCCCAGAGGGTGACCAGACGGGTACCCTCAAGGAATAAGGAGTCTTAGTTATTTCTCTTTTATACTTAGATTCTCCACTTCCCTGATACAAACAGTAACACTGGTTCTACAAGTTCTAGAAATAGAACACCGATGGGGAGGATTATCTGAGACACTTGATGCACACAGTTTGTAGCAAAAGTCTGTGATTTCTCTGTAAATTACTAATCTGAAATAGACACAACAAACCGTCCACAGCTTCAACTTCAAATGATTTAAACAAAAATAGAACGAGCCATGGACAGTGTCTGCATCCCTGTCCAATCTGATGTAAACAACGTTTGTAGAAATTGGGTTTGTTAAGAAAGTTTATCCATATACCTGGATAGCAATAAAAAGCGTTTCCTAGGAAACTGTAAGATCCTGTACCACACAGCATACAGCCCAACTAAGAGGAAAATTAGGTCGGTCTCTAAATTCAAGGTACAAATTTACACAATTGTCCTTAAGTACTGTGATGATGTCCGCGTGCAGTGGGCATGTCTGTCAGCAGCTGCGTCTGCTTGCCTTCTCTCTCCCGCTTGCAGTCTTGCCTGTGAAACTCATCGGTCATGGTCTACTCTGGATTTCCTTCTCCACGGCGATGCCCTGGATGGCCACAGACCCCCAGTGCCTTCCCGTCCTTCACTTCCAGTCCCGGCGTGGGTCAATACTGCCCTTCTGCTGCTAAAGACACTACGGTTTCATGCCTTCCCATTTCTTCCAGGACAGCCGCCAGCATGCTCAAGTTGCCGTCTGGGAAGTTCTGTGCTTCCCAGAGATCCAGGATTACGCCAGTCGGGCTGGATTTGGTGGCAAAGTAATTCAAGTACCTGCAATTGGGAATGGGAAAGTGTGCTGAATGGTGAGATATACAGATCTGTTTTCTCTGCAGTTGGTACTCACCCCTTCTGTCTCTCCATTTGTCTTTTAAGTCTCCGGGTCCCACTGGAGAAGCTGCGGTTTACAGTGAGCCATCCTAAATAACTAGCACACAATTAGATCAGCCCCAGACAGGAGACGCGATGTTTAACTTTGTTAACCTCAACTCTGAGTAAGATAATTTAAGAGACGAGATGTCTATGGGTCATATCCTAAACAGGAAATCAAGACACTTATGTTTTCTTTCCAGCCCGCGCTCTGATCATCTTTGACAGGTCATGCCATGTTTTGTGCTTGATAGTGATGGTAGCATTCCACAAAGAGGAGGCTCTTGAGGTCTCTTTATAACTCGATGTCAAGGCAGTGATTAGCATGTTAATTAAGCATCCAGGGGTAGGTCTTGCTCAACAGGAGATGAGGAAAGACAATTACTTTAAGTGAAGGGACATATTATTTACGGGGATTTAGCCCATCAGCTTTGCAAAGTGCATCACAAAACTCGATACTTAGCTTGTCAGAGAAGCCCCCCCCGCCCCCCCCCCCCGAATATCTCTTGACGATGCGTTTGCAAGACCATGGTGCAAGATACAAAAAAGAAGCTCCACGCAGGTTTGCAGAATGAAAAGTAAATGGATGGATAGGAAAACCAAATGAAACAAAAACAAAAAACCCAGAAAAACCAAATGCTGCCCTAAGTCAAACAGTTACCAGCCGCGGAGCTCTAACAGAAACCAGTCCTGAAGCCTGGCCACACCCACCTGTCCAGGTTCAGCTTATGGGCCAGCATCCTCCAGTCATGCCCTCTGGTCTGTGGGGCGTCCAGGCTGCTACAGAGCTTCTGCCGGATAGGGGGAGGGATGCTGAAAGCACTGGGGCCCGTCATGGTGGTGATGGTGTTCGCCGGGTCCAGCAGAGGCAGATCGATGCCAGTGGGTTCCTGTAAGTTCAGGCACAGGAACAACACAGCATTATTTCCAAAGACAAAAGCAAGCTCTGTTGAACCAATCGACATAATGCCTTGCTTTGAACAGTAAGAAGAGAATGAGTGCTATTCTTCCTCTTGGTAAGAATGGCTTCTTCCTGGCCGAAAGCTGTGACCTGGCTGAGAAGAAGAGGGATGTGCTGGGCTGACTTTGCACAGCCTTGGATGTATAGGTTTCCGCTATGGACTGGGCTGGGCGAGGTGGGACCTCTGGTGTGATACAGTAACGGCTTTTCTCTCATCCTTTTCAGGATGAAAGAGGAGAGAGGACTATCCATACTCCTAAAGGGTTACATTTCAAGAGAGGAGAAATGTTCAAAAGGGCAGTTCTTTGAGAATGAACAGATCTGAGATTAGAAGGCAGAGCTTCTAGAAACTGTGTGACCCTGAGGGGAATGCCCTGGGCAAATGCCCAAGTCAATTCTCTCTCTCTAACCTCTGCAGAAGAGTCAGTTCCGCGTTTGTCGAATGAAATGGAACACAGCCCACCTCCAAATGATATCGAATTAAGACTAATTTTTTAAAGAAAATGGCGAACACAGTAGATTGCCTTAGGGCAAGCGCTAATGGCATCCTCCAATTGCTGTACACCCTTATTTTTGTTAAATCTAATTTTAGGAGAGAAAACCATAAATTGGCTCTTAAAATAGTTTCAGCTCATAAAACAGCACAAATGTGAAATCTGAATTTCATCTGCAGGAGAAACTCCAATCATTTTCTGATCACTTCTGCTGGTTGGAAAAGCAAAAGCAAATGTTGCCTGAGAACTATTAAAGCAATAAAAGAAAATCTACTTAATCTACTTTAAATGTCATCTCTCTCTCTCTCTCTCTTTAAAGCAGGTAACTTCTTGGTGTACATAATTAGTTGCTGCGGGATAAATTAGCCACGTGTAGTTTGAGTCATCATGAAGTCTCTGGTCCCGTGCAGAGGGCTCAGCTCAGGGGGGGCAGTGCCACCCCTGCCCATAGCCCCCCAAACCTGGCTGCCCCGTGGGGATCAGCGGTGTGTCCCGGTGTAGACCGACGGCATGCTCTGTATTCGGGGGCTGACTGGCAAGGCTCACTGCTAGGCTTGTAGTGATGCCGCCGCAGGGGATCCCACCCAGGGGCTTGGAGGGCGCCTTAGAGCAAAACAAATTCTTTCCTATAACACACGGGGGCGTTGTTGTTGCCGTCACAGTATTTGGCCTTAACCCCCGCCCCCGCCCCGCCCCCGCCGGCAAACTGAGCCTCGGAGGACTCCATGGGCTCCTCCGTGTTAACTCCAGCACATGCCAGTTAAAAGACTGGTACGAATGAAACACATCAGCACTAAATGGGGGTTGGAGTCCCCGGATGGGGACGCGGCCTGCAGCTCATTCCCCGCACCTGGCAGAGCTCCTTCCAAGGGACCCCGAGGGGAGAGGGCTTCTGACCTCCCGGGCACAGGGCTCAGCAAGGGGGCCCAGAAGAGTGATGCGGGGGCAGGTGGTGGTGTTTATCAACGGATTTGCGTTGGGGATTTCTGAACCAAAGCACTTCATCGCTTGTATTAGGCAAAAAAAAAAAAAAAAAAAAAAAGATGTGTGCAAAGGGTTGGGGAGGTGGAGGTGAAGAGAAATTACATGGTATTTCCCCAGCTTGGTGCCATCACTCAGGCTATCGTTCCTATGGGGACGGTAACGACAGGGCCTAGAAGGAAAGCCCCCATGTCCCCAGATGTGACCGTCCCTTGCTGGCCGTGAAGATTAGGTCTGCTCAGGGAGCATCTGCTTTGTGGAGCTCTGACTTCTGTCCCCAGAGATTCTTCTTGCTGCTGCAAGAGCAAAAGAGTCCCTAAGAGATACTAAAGAGCATCTCCTTACTGCTTGCCTGTGGTCTATCCCAGTCTGTCAGACTCATCTTCCCAAAGTGTCAGACTGATGTTTCTCCTTTTCTCTCTCTTATTAATATATAGAAGCCTTCAAGGCTCCTTCTACCACATGGAGTCCCCACTTTTAATTACACAGTGCGGGGTATTAGCACCACCTGCCTTATCGGCTGGTATGAGGCCCCAGAGCTGATGCTTAGAGAGCGCAGAGCCGGGCCTCACATGGAGTAGGGGCCCCATCCCCCTGTGCTCCCCTCCCTTGACAATCCAACCCATCCCTTTCTCCTCTTGCCTGGACATGACTCAAACTCATCTCAGACTGGACCGCTCACTGTCCCTAGCGTTTTTTTTTTTTTTTTTTTTAAGACTCTACCTCTCATAGTTCTTCTTTCCCTGAATCTCTGTAAGGCAAACCTCTCAAAGTCTGGACCAAAGACATGTCCCTGGGACTCCCCTGAGCAAACCCACCCAAAACCACCAACCGGGGACCTCTGGCAGCACTTTTCCCGGTCCACACATTCTGCCTGCCCTAGGCATGTTGGCCATATTTTTGTGTTTACTTCTTTTGATTGCTCAAATTTCTTGGAGATGAAAGTATTTTTGTCATCCCCAGAACCCTACGATACTCAGCGCAGTGCTCTGCACACAGAAGTTCCTCAAGTCGTACTTGTTGAAATGAGAGAAAATATGTTTCCTAGTACAGAAGGAGTATAAAGCTGCCTCCTGATAGAAGCCCACCCCACTGACTCATGTTGAGCTTCCCTCCAAGTAAACGTGACTAATAATATGGCTCTTTTCACCATTAAATCCTGAAGTAAAGGCCAGGTAAAGGCAGGCCTGCCTCTCAGGGGGGTCTGCCACATATTCATGTTGCCATCCTTTTCCTGGTGAGTAAAAACCCTCACCACTTCATGTGGGCCTTTGAGGTCCGAGTCACCAGCCCTGACTACTGTGCCTATTTCTTTGTCTGTGGATGCAGTAAGCCCATTAGGGCATAATTCCTTGTCTCTCTTATCAGATGGATGACAACGGGCTTGGAGGTAAAAGAAAAATATACATTTACATTTCATCTAAAAATTTCAGTTGCTATTAGTTCTTCCTTTCCTTCCAGGTAAGAGTAGAGTTTATTCTCACAGAATGCTTATTACAATAATCGTTTGTGATATCGGTACCATCTGTCTCTGATGCCACGATTCTCTCAGTTAAACATATGATTTTTCAACATTAGTCCGACAGCTGCTGTGGGTGACTGCGCACATTTTCAGCACTGTGTGGGAGAAACAACTTTCCGCTCCCGTGTTCTGACTCTCCTTCCTGAAGTCACCTCAAAAAACTAGATTTTCCTAATAGTTGTTTAAACAGGCTATAGAAAACTGAAGAGTAAGTAGATGGGATAAGTTCAACAAGCTGATGTTACTTTGCGCATTTTAAGTATTATTCTTCATGTACAAAAAGTGTACAGAAAGTGGTTGTAAGGTCTCGCAAATGTGGGAAACTATAATCGTTACTTTTATCTGGGAATCAGTCAAACAAATGACTAACACTGCCTCCCGAAGTTCCACCTATTCCGGGGTTCAAAGCTATGAACTAAAGCAAGGTGTGATCAACCAACTTGGGAAGACAGCCATCTTCTTTACTCTGGGAACTAATATTTATTCATTTACTTATTGAGATTTATTTTTCATTCCTTTATTTTTATAGTGGCTGAGGTTTTATTTTACTATTTTGATAGAAAGGGAATCTAAAGTTCACTTTGATGACAGATGCTACAGACTGTAGAGGCAGAGTTTACTCAAGAACTCAGTAATCCTAACAGCATCAACGGGACCAATAATGATGAACACTGGCTGAACATGGGCCATGAGCCAAGTTCTGTTCAGTGCACTCACTAACATTCACTCATTCATTTCTCACAAAAGTTCATCCTTTATTATCGTACCAATTTACACATGACGAACCTGAGGCGAGAGGGGTGAAGTGATTGCCCATATCCCCGTGGAACTGTCCATTTGGGAATTTCCTACCATAGGTCTCTGCGTATGGCTACCACTAAGTATAAGGTCTGACGAGACTTTAAATTTCCCTCTCTTCTCTACACTGTTTTTTCTCTTGTTGTTGATGGGTAGCTTCACTGTTATTACTACCCCCATAGCCCTCTTAAAAAAATAAAATAAAATTTTCCATCATTATTTACATTTGGGCGTGCATTCATGCCCCTGCTTTTATTCTTTCAGACATTTTCATTCTTAAACTCCATCTCTGTGAGACTAAAGGCTTTGTCTCTTGTTAAGGAATCTCTGGCCAAAGCACCCAGTAAAGAACAATTGGCCGACTCTTGACATCCCCACGGTCTATGTCAAGCACAGCCTGGTCTCCCTGGGGGGCAACAGGTCCTTCCTGACTAGAGAGGCCAAGGGCCATGGCTTTATAAATGACTGCTGGTGAGTGCCTTGAGTGGTGGGTGGCTGGGGGGAGGGGGCAGCACATTCCTGGCAAGTCAGTTCGTTCTTGGAAGAGAGCACTTTGGAACTGCAACCCCAGGCCACCTGCCAGCTAGCCTTGTGACCCTAGGAAGGAGGCCCGTGCAGGAGAAAGACACCACAAATGGCGTCTTTTCTCTGTTTGGTTACGGTTTGTCAGTCACAGTGTACCCCTATTCGGAGCTTTTGATGAGGATCCGGGGCTCAGGGCTCTCCAGAATCAATTGTTCAGAGCTGAGCCTTGTTCCTCAGCATCAGTACCCAGCTCCACATGTCCCCCCTCTGTGGGCCACATGCACCCGCATTCAAATGCTAACCATAGCGGTGGGACTCGGTGACCCAGAAGTAAATGCAGCAGAGTGCCCCATAATCCTCAAAGTCATATGACTCCAGTCATTTCTGCCCCTCCCTCAGAGAAATGTGCTTGTTTGTCACTCGCGGCCAACGGCCTCTGGCAGGACTGAGGGCTGGCCTCTCTGACTGCCACCAAGTTGCAAAAGAAATCATCTTTCCTTTACCTTGGCACAAGGGTGAAAGTCCTTAAATGGTGATCACACTTTGCAAAACTGTCCTTGCCCAGCAATGGCCCTGATGAGGGGCGGGGGAGGCTGGGGGCAGGTGGTGGGGGCCACTGAACAGCTCTCTTTCACGTGCGGCCGCCGCGCCTCATCCAGCTTTTCATCACACAGCAAACGTTCACACTGAACTGAAAGCAAGCATCAAAGGAGCAGACATCCTCGCCCCCCCTCCAAAATTCCGCAGCCTTTGTTGTCACGGGAGCTGGGTGGTTATTGAACTTTGCAGACCTGCTGGGCCTGGAAAGTGAAAACACCCTCCTGAGCCAGCAGGGGTGGTGCTGTGTGCCTGGGAGATAGGGCCTGCGCCTCGGAGGGCCGGACGGTTGCCATGGCGCTCTGACACCGAGATCATTCCTTATGAATGTCACCAGGGTCTGTGACTAAAGTTGTTTATGAGTCAAAAGTCTCATGGAACTACAGCAGGAAATGGTGGCCGTGGCTCTCGGCAGGCTGTGGGAAAGAAGGATGGAGCGTCCTGGAGCCCGACATGCTTTCCCCCTCCTTGGTTTGCCAAGGAAGACAGTCTTTAAATACAACAATGGAGCACGAAACACACCGCAGACAGTGACATTTCATTCGTCACTGTGCATGAGACAGTGAGGGAGAGGGTCTTTTAAATCATCGACTGTCCCACTGTAGTTTTAAAATATATGACAGTCCTGCACTTTGTGGTTCAGCCAGGGGCTCGAGCTTGGCTGAGAGGCCCCAGGAAATGCTGCCTTCTGACCATTTGGCTTACTCTCTTTTTCCTTTGTTCCTCCAGTGTGGAGGTTTCTGCTGCACAAAAGGAGGATGGGGAGAACACGAGGCACCAAGGCATGTTTCAAGAAAAGTGACTCCATGCACACACCACTTAAATTCTACCTTGCACTTGAAATTCGGATCGGTCGTAAAAAGTTAGAACATGATCCTTAAATTCATGACCTAAAATAGAAAAGGCTTGTTTTTCAAAAAGGATTTCCTATTATATTCTTTTCTATATCTTGCTCCCTGTGTTCATTAAAAATATCACTCTATTAATAAATAGGACCTATACCAAGTGTTTCAGGACTTCCCCCATGGCCTATGTTGAGACACCTTTATCCTCCACACGCCCCTCTCCTTCGCAAAGTCATTGTCTCCCCTGATTTCTGGGGCAGGCAAAAGCTTCTTACCTCTGACACGGTGCAGTTGAGCTGGAAGATCTGCCCTTCTCCTTCCACCTGTCGCACGCAGAGTTTGCAAACCAGCTCCACTGTGTTCAGGCTAAATCTTTCCAGGGTGAATGTGCAGTGGAGGTTTCTTTGAGACCCACTCCAGATATGATAAAAAGGAATCTCCTAAAGGATATAACCATGTTAACCGCCGATGAGGGACTAACACCGAAAACGACTCTCAGACACTGCCTGCCAAATACTTTTCTCCGGAGTACATGTTACCTTATTTAATCCTCAAGAGAGACGCCCGTGCATAAGGACATCCCAACCCACTTTTCAGATGAAAAAACAGAGGCCCAGAGATGTTAAAATACCATCCCCCCGCCTAGTAAGTAGCAGAGCTGAGATATGAACCCAGGGAATCAGCCTCCAGAATCTATATACCTAACCAGTCTGCCACTTCCCTGTCATTTATAAAAGAAGCCATCGGAAGTGGGTTTTCAAAAGTTTAGCGAATTCCCAAAATAAAACCTACACACTCCAGTCATTGCTCATTAAAAGGAATCCCTGCCGTGGTGTTCTGGAGAAAAGCAAAGAAAGTCTAAAGAATAAAGCACTGACCCAGTTCCCTTTCATGCCTATGTGCTCCCTCTGCACAGGACGGGGAAAACCAAAACTCACTGCAAGCGGGACACTGGGGGCCCCGATGAACTGCTGCAGAAAATCCTTGGCCTAAAAAGCACCAAGCCTCCCACAGACATACATTTTCTAAAAGTCTGGACCACCTTAAAGAGCCCATCCTAGAATCTTATTTCCATAAAGGAAAGAAAAGGTTGATACACTAAAAAAAAAAAAAAAAGAAGTGGGGAGAATATGTTGGTTAAGAACAGAGGCTCTGGAGCCCAATTCACTATAAATGAGAACACCCTCCCCTTGCTTACTTGGTGTTGTGGGCTAAGTTAACCTTCCCATGCCTCAGTTTCCTTATCTGTGAAAAAGTAAGCAAAAGAGTACCTAATCATAGACCTGCTGGGGTTAAATGAGATAAATGAAAGTGCACGGGTGCCTGGCAGATGGTAGGAATTCAGCCAGGCTTGGCTTGAACTACTATCAGATTATCATTATTATTAAAATAGTATTTTCCATTCTGATTGCACAAAGGATACTGTTCATAAAAGGGAAAGATTTATGGGGTTTTATGGCAGTTGCTAAAGAGGGGAGAGAAGAAAGCAAAGGGAGAGATTTCAGGAGAAAGTCAAAAGCCAGATCCCTCTACCGAGTGCTGAGTTAAACAGAATAGTCTGGTAGGAACCCCCTATGAAAGCTCCAGAGTGTTAGCAAGCTAGGAAGTTTGTTTCCCACAACTTATGTGTAAGTATTAGACCTACGAGACTAAGAATGAGCTGGAAATCTTCCCTTCATTCTTAGTATGTTCACTGACTTCTATCAGGAAGTCACAGCCTGTGGAGCTGCAGTGCTGGGGTGTGGGATTGGATTCTCATGCGTATAGACATGGACTTGCAGCTTATCGAAGTGTGTCCGCATCTCCTGAGACTGGGTATGAGGCTAGAGACCCCGTCGCACAGCCTCCTGGGAGCTCAGGCTCAGAGACATTGGGGGCGGGGTGACAACCCCTTGGAGAGGCCTCTGCTTTTCCCATGTGTCCATGCAGTGAGACTTTGGACCAGTATTTTTATGCTGTTATCTAATAAAATCCTGATCAGATTTTATTTGTAGGTGCTATTTCAATTTCCAAATTGGTGTTCGTTCCAGGTTTTCAAGGTAAAGGTATTTTCCTAGCAAGGCCGGGGTCTAATTTGTGGTACGGGGGGTAACACTGTTCTTCCGTTTTCCCTCACGAAGGCATTTTTGAGGTTGTTTTTATCAATTCAGTGTTAGCATTTATTCTGAAAGCGAATTGAAATGATGGACTTGGAAGTCGTTTTTCTAAAAATAAAATAATGACAGTACAACTATTTGAAGGAGAATTAAGAAAAAAAATTCAAATATTCTGGAGTATTTTTCAGAAATCCTAAATAACTCTATACCATTTTAGAGAAACAAGTACTGTACAGAATTAATTTCAAGGAAAGGAATATCTTATGTCTAAATAATTTTAGACTTCTTTCTTGGAGCTGTCCCCCTCCAATCCTTTGGTTCAGCTTGGGAACCTTACCTGATATTTCGCCAGCAATTTACTTTTCCAGAGGGAATGGGTGATATCGTGAATCGACAGGCGCAGGTTGTGGGTGCTGCCTTTAAAATGAAGAGCCTTAGGTTCTTCTAGGAGCTGTCCTCCCATCTGTCTCTCAAGCTGCATTACTTCCTACAATGACATGCCCAAAGTCAAAAGCAAATCACTGAACGTATTACTTCCCCTGGCTGGCTCTCTCATCAAATGAGCAGGTTTCCTCACGGCGCCTCCCCCACACCACAACTAACTCGTGCAGACTCCCACTTCTGCAGCCTGGAGGCCCTCCAACGTAAGCCCCTGCCGGTTTGTGTGTGACTCAGTCCCCCTGACCACCAACTCCCTTTCAGCAATCTGCATCATATGTTGTGAGGCAAATTCAGTACAGTCTGCATTTCCCGATGGACAAGTGGGAGATTTAATCAAATCCTGGAAAATAACAATCAGAACCCCGAATGGAAAGAACTCCAAATGAAAGAAAAAACAAGCAAAAATATAAATAGTTAACGTAAGTAGATTTTCAATGAACTTTTAGGGAAAAGGGCAAATCACTAGAAAACAAACCCACGTCTTGGACTTGGCAAAACCAGCCAACAAGTAAAGATTTGGAATGCATTTGGGGCATTTAAAAAAAAAAATTCTAGTTCCTTTACCTACAGAAATAATAACATTTTTGCTTAAAATTCTCCATTGCATAATTCCCAATTATCAAAAACTAAAATAAAATGTCCTATAGAGGAAAATATACTGATATAGATTAGGAAGGTCTGTCAGCACCAAATACTGAACTAAACAGTTATACTCAGATTAAATCCGGAAAAGAATACCTCATTTCTCAAGAACTGTGGCTGATCAAAAAATTTGCTATGTAACTTTACTTATACTATAAAGATGTAACATGAAGACAAATTCTAAATATACTTTCATTCCTCAGACAAGCTAATGGGAGTTAACGAAGCATTTCCAAATACAGCTGTAATTACCCAAACAGCAAAAACCCTAAGTTATCAATGAACAAAATATGCTGAGTCTCCTTTGTCAGAACCATCCCTGTGCACTTTAGTTAGCTCCTGTCCTGCTTTAAAAGTTTTAGTGACACTCATGTGTAGGCAATTTGTGACCTTTCTTTTTTTTTAAGGGTTTAGGAAAATAATGGATTTTATAAAAATATAAAAGGAAAACACGATCTTCTTTTTTGGTGACATTTCAGTTGGAAGCATGGGGTTCAATAACACGGGCGCCCATTCAGGTCATTCCACACACATGTATTGGGCACCTACCAGAGTACCGAACGCATATGGATCATGGTGGAGATTTGTGAGTATGGGAAGCAGACTGCCTTATACCCAGAAATATATCCACTATGCATTTGTTGAATGAATTCTAACTCATGCACATGTAGCCCAGTAAGTGCAGAGCTTACCAACATTGATTAGGTGTAAATAGCTCATTTCTAGCTGCTTCTTAGTGGTTCTTAGCATTCATCATCTTTGAGTCAGGCCGCTATTCTGAACAAGGCAAGCCGCTGAAAGGTCCTACAAGGTGTAGGAAATATTAGGATAATATGGAATATGGTCTCAGACATGGATTCCTCTAATTAGTGTTTCACAGAAGAGATGAGGCAGTAATGCATTGACGGAGAGACGGGCATGGTCCAGCTGCTTTGGAATATTTACACTGAGAAGATTCAACCTCGCTGGCTGACGAGTAGCTATTACTTGTGACAGGAGTCTGAGCAGTCAGCCAACCCCCAGCCAGCCAGTCGGCTACCGGGACACATATGTTGTGCCCTGGCTCTCTGTGCCTACAGCTCAGCAGGCTCTTGAGGGTCCCCAGTAAGCCATACGGCTCTACCCAACCCAGAGTTGCACATGTTCTTCGTGGAACACTTCACACTCCATTCCTCGACAAGAATCTGGCCATGTGGAAATGAAGATGAATAAGAAAAGTGAGGGTTAATTGCAGTTTCCTCTGCTTCAGCAGCAAGGCATAATGTAGCTTATGTTGATCATGTTTGGTGTCTAGTTAGCATAATAGAGAAAGCTGACGTTCCCAGTGAACCTGGCACCTGACAAATTCTAAAGCTAAAATGATGTTTGTTTATAAGCCATTAGAAGAAAAGAAACATAATTAGAAATCTTTGAGATTACAGTCATGCCAATCAATCAGTTCTAGCTTCTTTCCAGTACACCCTAATTACCTCATCAAGACGTCTAAAGAGCAATCGATAGTAATTATCTGATTACTATAGATCTTCATTATGTCCAAATTATCTCCCTGGGATGTCTAAAAGAAGATGCATTGTATTCTGGGAGGAAATTGTACCCAACAATGTATAATCCACACCCCATTCCTACAATCAACATAGACTGCCAGAGGATACGGAGAACATTATCAGTTTTCTTGGCAGGGAGGACCATTGAAAAAAACCTAAACTGCCTATTGGCCATGACCTTGAAGTCAAGAAATCTAATACCACATTTGAATGCAAAGTCTGGTTTGGAGTCAGCCCAAGAATAGGCCTCAGTCCTTGGTTGCTACGGCACTGACCTCAAAAGGCATGATTAATAAGAGTTCTCACTAGTGGGGATAGACGGCATTGGCTTCAGCCTTTTTTGAAAGTACGAAGTAAAATGCCATTTTATTTTATATTATTCTATTTAAAAGATTTAAAGATTTATTCACTTATCTTAGAGAAAGAGAGTGGGGGTGGGGAGGGGCTTGATCTCATAACCCCAAGACCATGACCTGAGCCAAAATCAAGAATTGGACACTTAACTGACTGAGCCAACCAGGTGCCACAGGTAAGATGTCATTTTAAAGATAATGGAGCTAGAGAACACATCTCCATATTCTTAAGCTCTCTGTTTTTCCACCCACCAGGAATGACAGAAAGCTGCTGCATAGAGCTGGGAGGAACCTAACTTTTTTGTCCCCTTTGATCAGATATGAACCCTGGCGAAAGATAAACTGCCCATTGGGATGTACCCATGCTTACAGCAGAGATCCCTCTTCAAACATATCTGATTGCACATGCCTATCAGTCAAAAAAACAGCATGCATTTTATGCTTCTTTATAAATGATATACCTATATTAACACACCAGTAAATTACTGTATTACATTATAAAATATACATAAGGTTAAAAGTATGAGCTAAGATGAATAAACACAGAACTATTATTATGCTTTTGGCCCCCAAAGTTCACTGGGCCTGGGGTGTGTGAGGGCCATTTTGGAGACCACTGGCTTGGGCAGATGTCCTTTCACTGCTACCTCTGGGAGAGATCAGCCCTGGAATAAATGATTTGGTAAGAAGAATCCTTACCAAACTTAATTTTAATGTTCTTCCTGAGAAGTAGCAACTGATACCATACTCAGGATGTTCAACTTTAAGGAAACATAACAAAATAAAGGAGAAGACAATAACCAAAGCACAAATTAAAAATATTAAAGTGAATTAAAGATATTGTAAGCGATAAGTAAAACACCTCCTTGGAAACTACAATTGTCTAAAACTACATGAGCCAGCGATGTCTTGATGCCTACAGCAAATCCACATACAGGTTTGAGCTTCCCGTGTTCTCTTACACACCAAGTTTTTCCAACAGGTACGGACATGACTGCAAATGTATTTTTTCTTCCTTATGATTTTCTTAATAACATTTTCTCTCCTCTAGCTTACTTTATGGTAAGAATACAGTGCATAATACATATAACATACGTGTTAATCGGCTATTTATGTCATAAGGCTTCCGGTCAACAGTAGGCTATTAGTAATTAAGTTTTTGGGAAGTCAAAAGTTATATGCAGATTTTCAACTGCCTGGGGGGGTTGGTGCCCATAACTCCCATATTGTTCAAGGGTCAACTATATAAATTTTACACCAGAAGAGAGAAGAAGCAAGCCCACTTGATACACCTCGTCAGGCTTGTGTTCCATATTGTTATGTGTTTAACTGTCACAATTTCAGATATGTTATAACAGATCCCACTTAAAATATATGCTGTAACTTATATTTCAAAAGGCTTGACTTTCTGAATTCCTTCTGCATGGAACCATTTTATATTACATATGATACACAGAAGGAAGAGAACTTAAAAATAACACATGTATGAATCAGTAAGATATAGCTCTACAGTTAAATGCTTTCCTCTCCTTCATCTTCCTGAGAGCCTTCATTCAACATCGGCACAACGCACACACCCTGCCGGGAACCGGGTCAGGCTCCGGGCCACACAGACGAGTCCCCGACCCTGCCTCCTACCACCCACGGAGGGGAGAGCACCAGGGAAACACGTGACCCCAACACTGTGCACTCGGCTCTAAGACAGCTTCCAGACAGCTGCTTTTGGATCACACAGTTAGGGTATTGCACGCACCTTAGGACAGAATAAGAACAAAATACATTTAAGGTCAAAAGACTTAGACTTCAGAAAAATATCGTGACCTCGGAAAGAAATGCCATCATAGGAGTCAGAATCATCTAGAGTCTTTGTTCTCAGAAATATAAATGTCACCTTCCTTTGCAAAGGTTGTCCTCCCTCTTGGCAGGTCCCCCCCTCAGGGCCCTGTTTTGGTTCCTGGTGACTCTACCTGTTGCTTCGATGAGCTTGCTCTGCTTCTGCGAGAAGGGGTCACTCTCTGACTTCCTTTGTTACGTCTATCTTCACCCCTGCAACTTGACCTTGAAAAGACTCTCTCAGGAGTCAGTTAGTAACACATGCAAGACCCCAGTCATAAAGCCACCAGGAGCAGGCCCCGGTGTGTGTGAGTCTGGTGCCAGGATCGAGCAATCCTGTAGGATGGCTGCTTCCCCCAGCTCAGTGGCTGCCCAGCGCAGGCTCTTTGGTGGCCCTGAGAGAGGGCTGTATCGATTCAGGGGGCCTGTGAGGGATCGCTCGAAAGGCAGGGACAAGAGATTTCACAGCAGAAACAAGCTGCTTTCACAATAACCAATTAAATCAAGACATTATCCATGCCAAGCCATTAGCCTGGGCCACTTAAGAGCCTCAATAAATCGTAGCTGTTTTAAAGGCCTGTGCGTACGTACAAAGGGAGCACCTCTGGCCAGTACCCAGAACTCTCCCAGGCTCTTAGCGCAGAGGATCAGCTCTCATGGAGGTGGCACAGGGC